GACTAGCAGGCTGTGCTCCACCCTTCTCCACCCCACACAAACCAGTCCAGCTGACTATTGACACTCCAAACATTTCCATAGTCTGACCACACATGGAAACACAGGAGGAAACACAGAGGGGGAAGAACGTAGTAGCACAAACTAGCATCCCTCTCATACACATAGTATATAAATGGAAAAAATCCATTATTTAAGGAATTTTTTGTAGCCAAAAATTAAAGGTGTACGTTTCTAAAACATCATTTTTATAAGCAAAGACTGACTCATACATTTCTCTTTGCCATGATGACAGTACATAATGTTTTACTAGATATTTTTCAAGACACTTCTATACAGCTTAAAGTGAGATTTATAGGCTTAACTAGGTTAATTGGGTTAAATAGGCAGGTTAGGGTAATCAGCCAAGTTTTTTTATAACCATGGTTTGTTCTGTAGACTATCGAAAAAATATAGCTTAAAGGGGCTACATTTTTTACCTTAAAATGGCTTTTAAAAAATTTAAAACTGCTTTTATTCTAGCTGAAATGAAACAAATAAAACGTTCTCCAGAAGAAATAATATTATTCGACATGGTGTGGAAATGTCCTTGCTCTGTTCATTTGAGAAATATTTAAAAAAGAAAAAAATTAAAAGAAGGGCTAATATTTCTGACTTTATCTGCATATAAAAAATCTATTCTGATGTGAACACCAAAACTAAATTGTATGATAATTTTTTTTTCCCCATCAGTTATTCTATCCGGTCTGACTCATGTTAGTAAATGTGGACTACAGAAAGTCTAACTGAACTCTTTTAAGGCTTCATGCCGTGTGGGTGAAGGTGGCGTGACAGTGCGGCTTAAACTAGTCTTTCCCAACCTTTTTTTTTTTCAGCCTACCTATTGACATACATAATTCTTGTTCTAATAAACTACATGTGTGGAGGAGCTTGGTAGTTTCAGTAAACACAGAGCTTAATTCATGGATAACAATGCTGGTATCATTCTGTCCTCTAATGCCGCTTCTGTGAAATATTGACATTGTCCTCCGCATGCAGTTTACTGGCGCCTGTTAGGGGTTTGTGTGTGTGTTGGTTCAAGCTTGTCATGTGTCTCGTTTGTGATGTAAAATTAAGTTTGTGTTGTGTTACCTTAGTGATGTGAAAGAGAGAGCGTTTGTGTGTGTGTGTGTTTAAAAGATCTTGTTTCTCTTTGGGTCCGCGTGTTGTCTGCACACATGCTACTTGGTGATGAATAATTGATAGCGTTTAGAGCTTCTACTCGCTTCAAAAGCCAAGAAGTCTTCATTTTGCTGACTCTATTAAAACACAATGGACCCAGTTTACACTCTTGAGTTTGACAGTGATGAATTTAGGGCTGCATGATACAGGAAAAATATGTGATTAGAGCTGTTATTATTAGCCATGTGTTTAAATCATTTTAGTTGATAATATTAAAATGAACAGGTCAAATATTTTTTTCAGATCTAATAAATTCTAACTCACACTAAAAAACAATGTCAATGTGCAAACATTTAGTCTTGATTCACGTCAGTAGTGTTTATTTTCAGCTCTGAGTTCACCTTTTGGCCGCTCCAGCCAATAGCAGAACAGCAATTGCTGGGGAGGCCAGTTAAAGATAGTAAGGCCTTTGTTCAAATTTTTCTCTCGCACATCCTCTTCTCACATAAATCCACCAGAGGGCGCAATATACAATTCAGCCGACCAGGCCAGCTTGTAGTTGACTGACTGATTGACCCACCTACCCCATCCCTAAACCCAACCGATAGTGTTTTTAAAGGCAATTTAGAAAAAGAAAATCAGTTGCAGATGTTTATCACCTTGTTTCAGCCTGTTGTTTATTTATTTTATCTTTTGTATTTGTTTGTTTACTCTGTTTCTTTACCGAACTCAAACATTGCCATCGTGATCAAATCAGCTCCAGATGCGGCAAGCTACTGGGCAAACTTTTAACATCGGAAATGAAGTCCATACTAGAGGGTACAGCTGCTGAGCCCGACCAGATTTCTTATTGTGCGGAAATAAATTTCCGAATAAAATGCGGTACTTCACTCCGTTTATAGCGTCATTATGGACGTTTTACGTTTATAACTAACATGGTTCAAATGATAGATCTGCGATAGAAAAACTAGTTTTGGGAAACACTCGTCAGAGTCGTCACTACATCATTCTTTTCCCAAACGATGCATCACACTATGATAGTTCAGTTATACAGCTTAAAGTGACAATTAAAGGCTTAACTAGGTTAATTAGGTTAACTAGGCAGGATAGGGTAATTAGGCAAGTTATTGTATAATGATGGTTTGTTCTGTAGATTATCGAGAAAAAAATAGCTTAAAGGGGCTAATCATTTTGTCCCTAAAATTGTGTTTAAAATTTTTAAAACTGCTTTTATTCGAGCCGAAATATAACAAGTAAGCCTTTATCCAGAAGAAAAAATATTATCAGAATTACTGTGAAAATTTCCTTGCTTTGTAAAACATCATTTGGAAAATATAAAAAAAAAAAAAAATTCAAGGGGGCTAATAATTTAATAATTCTGACTTCAACTGAATATATATATATATATATATATATATAGGATAATCATGTTTCATGATCCAATTGATTTCTGATGGATATAATCAAGTTCTGCCTTAGATTTTGTTCCCATTGAACATCCTGCTTTACTTAGAAATACATCACACATGGAAATTAAAACATGTTGCGAATGCCGGTTATCCTGAAAATCTTTCAACATTATGAGAATCATTTTATCAATCCTATTTTAATTATTATTTTTTTAAATTTAATTTTAAACATTGTGTTGAATTATTTAAGATTAACCAAGATCTGTAGTCAGTTTTGTCTAGTTTGTTTACTGTGTACACAAGTACTGCTGCTTCTCACACTGTGTCATTCTCAGATGACTCAAACTTGCAGTATATTTGCACTTCACTTTTATCTTAAGTGCAAATCGAGGATTGTTTGCCAACTACTGAGTGCCAAATGATCTGGTTTGACTTCAGGTGATCTCACGGAGACTACTTATGGCGGGTTTAAACTACACATTATTTATTTTTGTTTATTACAATAGCCTGTGCCAGATTATACAATTCTGACTTGTACATTATCCTCTTGTTGTTGTGAACAAGTAGCATGTCAAGATTTCTTTCCAACCAGTTGTTGCTTTCTGTTTTAAATCACCATGTGTGTGACATCAGCAATAAGACCAACTAACAAATGACTTTTGAATATATAACCCAGGTTACTAGAGCCATATTAACCCAGGGAAATGTTTTCTTTCTTACTTTTAATGATAAAATATTGTTTAGGGAACAACAGTAAGAATTACAAATATATATATATATATATATATATATATATATATATATATATATATATATATATATATATATATATATATATATATATAATTTTTTTTATTTTTGGTTTAGCTCACAATTCATGGTATTAGCAAACCATTAACCTACTACTATTTAGCTGTTTATTAATAGTCAGTAAAGTAGTAGTTGAGTTTAAGTTTTGGGTAGGATTAGCGATGCAGATTAAAATCATACTTTACAATTACTAGTAAACAATTAATAGCTTAGTCCGTATAGTTAATAGCGTGAATTGTGACTTAAACTAAAGGCAAGGCAAGCTTATTTATATAGGACATTTCATACACAATGGTAATTCAAAGTGCTTTACATAAACAAAAATAAAAAACAAAAAAAATACAAAATGATTAAATTAATTAAAAAATGATTAAAACAGATTAAATCAGATTAAAATGTGCTTAAAACAGGATATAAAAGACTGAAAAAGAAAAGAAAGTCATAATAGTGTGATCTGTCGGATGTAGCACAGGGCTTATTTCGTAAAAGCATAGCTAAACCAACGTTTTTTCAGTCTTGGTTTGAATGTGCCTAATGTTGGAGCACATTTGATCATTTCTGAAAGCTGGCTCCATAAGTGGGGAGCCTAGTAGCTGAAGGCGGATTCACCCTCCTTTGACTGAACTATTGGAATTTCTAATTAACTTGATCCTAAAGATCTGAGGGATCTGTTAGGTTTGTATTCAGTGAGCAAATCTGTAATGTATTGATTCCTGTGATGCCCCAGGGAGAGTCAAGTCTTCGCTGAGGCCCAGCTTCCAGCCTCCGCCGCTGAGACTGCAGCTCTGCACAAGACGTTTGGCCAGCAGAGAAATTAAAATGGTCGTGCCCAACTGAGTCTGGTCTCTCTCAATGTTTTTTTTCTTAACTTTCGCCAACTGGTGAAATTTTTTTCCCTCTCCGCTGTCGCCGCTAGCTTGCATGTTTTGGGATCTGTAGAGCTGCGCATCGATGGATTTGTTCTCCAGTGTCTAGACCCTCAGTAGAGATTATTAAGCCACATTAAGCTGAGCAGAACTGAACTACACTGTTCCAATTTACTATGACCTTTTATGTGAAGCTGCTTTGACAATCTATAATGTGAAAGGGCTATACAAATAAAGGTGAATTGAACTGAATTGAATTGAGGTCTTAGACCATTCAGTGATATACAGAGAAGTAGTAACTCTAAAATCTATTCTGAATATAACTAGGGGCCAGTGTAAAGACCTGAGGACAGGACTTTGCAAAAAAATGGAAAAATCCATGAAATCCGTGTTACCATGAAAGTTAATATTCAGAGTTAGCCCCTCCCCTTAAGGATTGCATTAACACGAGCCATGAAGTGATCACAAGTCACAACAGAACATCTATTTAAAGTGATTTTTAAGCATAAAAAAGTTTTTTAAAAAAATGAGAGAAACCTTATTGACATCATAGATTTGAAAAAGTATTAAAGGAAAAGTTGTTTACATTATCTTCGACTGACGACCAAACGAGTTGATTCATCTGCTTTATTCATGTACAGTAAATGTCTACTTTGCTGCTTTGGATACCTCACAATCACAGTTGAGCTAAACCATTTCATTTCTGACTGTTGAGCTGAAAAATGCTTTATGTTTGTTTTTTCTTCATTTCCCTCAGTTCTGATTCTGGAGCCTGTGGAGAGAGATGACCTGAGTGGAAAGACACTGAAGATCACAGACTTTGGTCTTGCTCGAGAATGGCATCGCACCACCAAGATGAGCGCAGCGGGCACGTATGCCTGGATGGCTCCAGAGGTCATCAAGCTCTCCCTGTTCTCCAAAAGCAGCGATGTGTGGAGGTATAGCTGCAGGCCAATTTTTTGTTTTTTAAAAAACAAGTCAATTCGATAATGATTCTTATCAGCGAAACAGAGAGAAATCTCTGATGTATTTCATATTGTGACCACTTATTCTATGCATCTGACATAAGATGGAGATGGACTTGTGGGCTCTGTACAGTATATTTGTACCCATGCACTTAAAAACCATTAACCAATCATTTCTGGAATAAATCAGTAGCATTGCAGTCAATTTATATTCGCTGAACTGAATTAAAAGTCCACTTGAATTGAATTGAGCGTTCGGGAATCAGAATCAAATCGAATCCGAACATCTGAATAAACACAATCTGCTGTCCTCCTCTGTACTTTTATTTAGACTTTTTTTGTCTAATTGTTTATTGTGATCAGTTTTGGAGTGTTATTGTGGGAGCTGCTGACTGGTGAAGTGCCATACCGTGAGATCGACGCTTTGGCTGTGGCCTATGGAGTTGCCATGAACAAGTTGACTCTTCCCATCCCCTCCACCTGCCCTGAAGCCTTTGCCCAGCTGCTGGGAGGTAAGGACAGTCTTTGTTGAGTAATTGTCCTGCAAGGCATCCACTGTTTTCATCATTTAATCACTTTTCTCCCTGTCTCTATAGAGTGTTGGTGTCCTAACCCACGTGGACGACCTGCTTTTGGGAGTATCCTGAAGAGGCTGGAGGACATCGAGCAGTCGGCCATGTTCCAGATGCCCCTGGAGTCTTTCCATTCCCTGCAGGAGGACTGGAGGCTGGAGATTCAGCAAATGTTTGATGAACTACGAGCAAAGGAGAAGGTGAGGACCAAAAATAGATGCTTGTTTCATGTTTACATCTCAAAGGATAAAAGTGGCAGTACTAGGACTTCTGAAATATTTTTAGTCCCTATTGTATTTCTATTTATCTAATAATATATACAACTATAGACGAAAACACGAAGAGATCACTTGAATATTCTATGGAGTTTCTATGGATGTATTAGACTACATGGGCTCTATTTTGACGGTCCATGTGCAGAGTGCAAAACGCAGGGCGCAAACGCTTTCAGGGCATGTCAGGACGCATTTTTGCTAATTTACGGACAGAAAAATCCGCTTTGCGCCGTGGCGCATGGTCTAAAAGGGTTGAGTTTATTTTCTTAATGAGTTATAGGTGTGTTTTGAGAATAAACCAATTAGAGTCTCATACTCCCATTCCCTTTAAGAGCCAGCTGTGTCGCGCCATAAGCGCATTCGCTATTTACAGGATGTAAAGTAAGTCTAAGTGGAAAAAATGAGCAATTCACTAGCAAACATTTAACAGTTAACAGTTTTTTTTTTTAACAAAAAACTGTTAAACAGAGCATCTACTGCGTGAGAATGAGAGATAATGGATCTACTTTCACTTTTGCTCTTGGATAGGGAAACCTTTACGCACAGACATCAATTAGTCTATAAATAATTAAATGCGCTTGTTAAGCGCAAATATTCGTTTCAAATTCTATTTCTAAATTCATTTCTAATTTCCAGCAAACGAATAAATGAACAATAATAACGAAGTGTGTTCAAAAACCTGAGTCATATCCTAAAACACATGCCATGCCCCATATGGTCTAAAACCTGACAGGTGGGAAAATCTAAGCTTGTTTTTAATAAAACAAATATAAATATGGATATAATAAATAATAATGCTAATAATAATAACATTATACAAAAGCAAATTGTTATGAATGAACTGAAAAAGCCTCCCGAGATGAAGAAGACATAAAAGCAGTGATTTTTCATATTTATGTAGGCTAGAAAATAATATGTTTTGTAACATTTTAATCCTTTATATTTATATTCTATATCTATTCTTATTATATCCTATTTATATATATCCTTAATATTTTTTTATTTTCATATGTAAAGATATCTGCCTATTGCTCTCTTGTGCGTATTAAGCAGTGTGTAAGCGAGGCGCAACTCTGCGCCGGAGTTTAGACCGGGTTAGTTTTGGTCTAATGAAAATAGTTTCTCAAAATAAAAAAACGCCTAAGGGCGCACAAATAAGCGCTAATGCATTTGCTATTTAAACAGCGTAAAGCAACGCCTCAAAACGACTCTTGCGCCAAGCTGAAACTACCAAACAAGTATTGCGCCGCACCTTGCGCCACATTGCGCCGGGTGTATGATAGGGCCCCATGTGTTAGCTTTGGGCTTGAGTTAATATTTGTTTAAAATTAGAAAGCTCAAAGTTAATTTTAGATTATGTCGATGGTCTGATATTGTCTTCTAAATGTCAAATAAAAATATATGAATTAGTGTATTGTTTTTTTTCTTTCAGAAATGCAAATGATCAGAATAACAAATGTTTTATTGAATATCAGGATTATTTTACCAAATATCACATCTATTTTCCTCATCAAATAAACGATGTTGTTAAAATAAAGTTAATTTGTATTGTGTTGTCTAAAAATGGGTACAAATACACATTAAAAATAAAAGAATGGAGGAAATGGAACATAAAGGTTTCATTTATTTGATCTAAATATTGCAAAACAGTATATAGTAAAATATTATTACAATTGCAACAATATTTATTTTTACTTTTAAATATTTAAATAAATATTACCAATTGCTTTGACTGTCATCATAAATGTGTATTGCAATGTAATGATAATGATATTACAGGAATAACATGATCCTTTGGAAATCATTGTAATCATGCTGGAATAATTTATCTTTATCACTCATGAAAACAGTTACAATTTTATTTCTTTTATTATAAACAGGGTTTATTGTTTATAGAATTGTTTATTTAAAGGTTTCCAATTTATGGAACTTACACTCACCGGCCACTTTATTAGGTACACCTGTCCAACTGGTTGTTAATGCATCTTTCTAATCAGCCAATCACGTGGCAGCAACTCAATGCAATTAGGCATGTAGACACGGTCAAGATGCAGTTCCAAGCATCAGAATGAGGAAGAAAGGTGATTTAAGTGACTTTGAACACAGAAGACCACACCGGCTGCCACTCCTGTCAGCTAAGAACAGGAAACTGAGGCTACAATTCACACAAGCTCACCAAAATTGGACAATAGAAGATTGGACTGATGAGTCTCGATTTCTGCTGCGACATTCGAATGGTAGGGTCAGAATTTGGCATCAACAACATGAAAGCATGGATCCATCCTATCTTGTATTGACGGTTTAGGCTGCTGGTGGTGGTGTAATAGTGTGGCTCAGTACCAACTGAGCATTGTGTCAACACCACAGCCGACCTGAATATTGTTCCTGACCATGTCCATCCCTTTATGACCACAGTGTGCACATCTTCTGATGGCTACTTCCAGCAGGGTAACACGCCGTGTCATAAAGCGTGAATCATTTCAGACTGGTTTCTTGAACATGGCAATGAGTTCACTGTTCTCAAATGTCCTCCACAGTCACCAGGTCTCAATCCAAGAGAGCACCTTTGGGATGTGGGGCAACGGGAGATTCACATCATGGATGTGCAGCCGACAAATATGCAGCAACTGCATTATGCTGTCATGCCATTATGGATCAAAATCTCTGAGGAATATTTCCAGTACCTTGTTAAATCTATGCCATGAAGGATTAATGAAGTTCTGAAGGCAAAAGGGGGTCCAACCAGGTACTAGTAAGGTGTACCTAATAAAGGGGCCAGTGAGTGTAGACCATACATGGTGAAGACACTGAATTAGACAGTTTTGTTCATACATTAGATTATTATAGAAAAAAAAACATCATTAGGAACAGAAAATTCATTCATTAAGGTCTTAAAACATTTTTAAAAATCTTGAATTTGACTTAGTAAAACCTGTATAAAACATGAAAAGGAAACTTTATTTGCCGTTGTTTATTTTGGTAAAAAAAATGTAGTTTTTTTTAAGTAAACCTATAAAAAATGGTAAAAGTAAACCTTTAAAACACAGTACAGATCATGGTTGATTAAGAAAATGTTTGTTTACATACAGGAATTTTAACTCAGTATAAAACATGTCACCATACAGAGCCTAATGCATAGGAAAAATCGAATAATCGCTGCTTAATGAAATGACATTAGAACAATATAACAAGCAATAACTTTGGATTAGTGGTCTAAATAACTGGCTCTCCATTAGGAGTTGCGATCCTGGGAGGAAGCTCTGGCCCGGGCAGCGGAGGAGCAGAGGGAGCAGGAGGAGCATCTGAGGAGACGCGAGCAGGAGTTAGCAGAGCGAGAGATCGACATAGTGGAGAGAGAGCTCAACATCATCATCCATCAGATGTACCAAGAGAAACCGCAGGTCAAAAAGCGCAAAGGCAACTTCAAAAAGAGCCGTCTGCTCAAGCTCGGCAGAGACAGCAACTGCATCAGTCTGCCATCTGGTGGGTGGAAAGGGAATCTGTTTATGTATGCTCAATCAAAAATGACAATCTTGTCTTCATTAACTCACCTTTATTTGATTACAAACATTTTTGGGTTACTTTTCGTTTTGTCAAACACAAAAGAAGATATTTTGAGAAATGTTGGAAACATTGACCTCCATTGTAGGAAAAAATGCCATAAATGTCAATGGCCATTGTTTTACTAATTTTATTAAAATATTTTTGTGTTCAACAGAGAAAAGAAAATGCTTTTCAAACTATCCTTGCAACCTTTTTTTTTAAAAAACCACCTACCAACAAATTTAGCATTTATTACATTAATTTAACTATTTGAAGCTACTCAACTAGCGACTCAAATCATGGAGAAGGGTATAAACAGAGGTCAGAGTCAGCTCCAAATGAGTGGGACTTGAGCTCCTGGTAGGCTGTACAAAACTGGAGTTTCTTAATTTATTTAATGTCTTGTACATGTACCAGCCTCTAATAATGTGCTTTATGAATGTCTACACCTACCTCAACCCTTAACCCAACCTCACAGTAACCTGATGTATTTTATTAATGTCTACTTCACCTACACCACCTAAACCCAGCCTACCTGCGGCTCAAACCCAGAGATGGCTAAAGTGTAAAAATGTAAGGAGTAACTCAAGTAGAAGTACAGATAATCATGTTTAAAATGACTCTGGTAAAAATTGAAGAACTGACTACACTTTTATACTCAAGTAAAAGTAAAGAAGTACAGCCTGAAATATGTACTTAAGTAAAAAGTATTCATTACTACTACCTGTAGTTACCTGGTAACTACACTGCACATCATGTGTACATCTATTCATTCATTCATTTTCGCCTTAGTCCTGCTATTAATCCGGGGTCGCCACAGCGGAATGAATGAACCGTCAACTTACCCGGCACGTTTTTATGCAGCGGATGCCCTTCCTTCTGCAACCCATGTCTGGGAAACATCCATACACTCATTCACACACATACACTATAGACAATTCACCTGTACCGCATGTTTTTGGAATTATTAGGGAAATTAAAGTACCCGAAGGAAACCCACGCGAACGCGGGGAGAACACGCAAACTCCACACAGAAAGGCCAACTGACCCAGCCGATGCTCGAACCAGCAACCCTCTTGCTGTGAGGCGACAGCACTACCTACTGCGCTACTGCGTCGCTGTCATTAACATATATAATTGCTAATTGTTGATCATATAGGAATTATTCAATAACTGCCATTAAAGTTGTATAATTGAACACATTTTAAATAATGGTTTTATGAGATGGCCAGTCAATTTGACAAAACTCATTCATTATCTTATAGATTACGTAAAGATGCTGTTTTGAATTGCGATTACGTAATGACGTCATTATGCAAGAGTCATTGAGCAACTTTTAGCAACAAATTGTTCCACCTTAAGCAAATTCCTCTGAATATAGTTGGCAACAGCAGTTCTACTACTACAATTTGTGGATATCATCTGAGAAAAAGTAAATATAAACTGTCTTTGAGTTTTGAAGTCTGCATCTCTGGAGTCTCTGGCCTACAAAAATACAAATATGAACAATAATGCTTTGAGGAATGTCCGTTCATTGTTAATATATTTAAATGTAGTGCGTCCAAGAGAGCAACAGAATAGCTTGTCACTCGTATCAAATTGCTTAAATAATAAACGTCAATAAGCCAAACGTTGGACAAAAGTAAGTCCTGACATGCATTTGTTTTTGTTCAGGAACTTGTTTCACTCAGATAAATGTTACAATAAAAAGAAAAGACTATAACAATGTACATTTCATGCTGACTTCAAAGGCGCAATATGTGCGTTTTTTTTCCATTAAAATATCCTAAAACAACTTGAACAGTTATATACTGTACTTAGCTGACTTATTTACTTACATTATTATTTAAATATAGAAAAATAAGCAATTTTAATGCCATGTTTATGACA